CATAGAGAAGAAAAAAGGTGTGATAAAAAAATTTCAAGCACCTAGTGTGGATCAACTGTTTGTGGAGAAGGTAGCGGTATATCCTTTTACCAAGACTTTTGCGGCTTGTAAAGACGAGCCTGTGATATGTTTACGTAAGTTGACAGCATCCCTTCACTTGCCTCAACTTGCTGCTTGAAAAAGCGAAAGAGAATGAAGAGCTTACTTTGAGTAATGCAGATACATCCGGCACAACAGGGTTTCCTAAGCCAATACTGTGGACACACGACTGGATTGCAAGTCAATCGCAGACACTCAACCTCCCACTGCCAGTTGGATTTACCCGTCATGATCATCATATATGCTACCAAAAGGATCGTCGTGCACGGTTACTGGTGACTGGTCCCCCATTTCATGCAAGCGGAATCTTTAACATGGTTCTCTACCCTTTACTGTTGGGCACAAAACCCATCTATTCGAAAATAGGAGTAACACCAGAAGAAGCCGTAGACCGTGCCATATCAGCTCTGGAAGCCCTACACACAGAGAGCGTAGTGGCAAGCGGAAGTGTGACTGAGTCGTTGCAGAAGGTGGTAGATCGTGTGTCGGTTGTGCCGACGGTTATAGAGTATGTGGTCAAGCACCCCGCGAAACTCGATCAGATTGTCCAAAGGAGCCACTCGTTACGGTATGGCGGCGGAAGTGTATCTCGCACAGCTGGCGTCACCATAACAGACAAGATACATCTAGTCTGTGGATTTGGGTCCACCGAGCAAGGCGTTTGGCCCAGCATCCTGCAAACCGACGATGATATGAAACGTGATGGAAGATGGGAATATATGACTCCCCACCCGGCACTTAACTTGCAATTCCGCCCTGTTTCTGAAGATGCTGGTGAAATCATGTACGAGGCCGTCATGGTGCGAAACAACGGTAAGGACTGGGATGGATATGTGCAGCCTTTGTTCAGGTGTTTTCCTGACCTCAAGGAGAAAAGCATGGGCGACCTATTCATAAGATCTCCAAAATATCCGGACATGTGGAAACACCACGGCCGTATAGACGACCTGCTGGTCTTCCTCTCCAACGAAAAGTTCTTCCCCAATGTTGCTGAACAGCGTATTGCGGCGCACCCTGGTATCGCTGAAGCTCTGATTATAGGGACACGTCGACCGAAAGCTTCACTGATTGTCAGGCTAGAGGATGGATTCAAGCTGGAAGATGTATGGGAAAGGATTGAGGAAGTTAACGTGGACTCACCGGTTTACGCACGGGTTACAAAAGATATGGTTATCGTTGCGCAAGAGCCTTTCCTGAAGACGGCAAAAGGGAGCGTTAGAAAGGTTGATATGCTGGGAAAGTATGTGAAAGAGTTGGACAAATTGTACGGTGAAGGGATTTGAATACTATGGTCGCACGAAAAGGTGGTCATGTGAGAGTAAACACCGGATACACCAAGAAAGAGCGCTGTGCCAAGGTGCTATACTGTAGTAGGGGAGACGCCATGCCAGTGAGAAGTTGGGAAAGCGGAATGTGGCAGGATGCGGCAGGAGCGAAGCCATGCACAACAGATTCTGGATAGAATAGTCATAGACAATCTACCATATATACGAGCAGAAAACTTTCTGATTCTAACCCGGTTCGATCGTTTTCCTTGTCAGTGCGGACATGCTGAAAAGTCGCTGTTTTCGTACACATGGTTGCATGTTGAACGACATTCGCTTGCTACTTTGAGCACAGTCTCGAGTTCTATCCGAATCTGTAAATCTAGTAGTACGAGAATTCGGAAAATAGTAAACGTAAAAAAGAGGACAAACACACTAACATAAGGGGCAAGATCGTGGGTATAAAACTATGACTGGTTCAACAACGCTCAATGATGTCTAAATAATACGTACGCAAGGGGAGTGTACTGCTAACCAACGCCTCGGGATGCAAATAAGACAATCTCAACTAGATGGAGAAATTTTGAAGAGATCAAAGAACTTAGCTTGATGAAAGATGCGCCCAACGCGCATCTCTATCCATCTCACCATCCTCACTATAGCATGGTCAGCGACTGTTCCCCAACTCTCTTCCATCGCAACACGCAACTCCCCATGCAACATACCTACCAAGTCAATCGCTGGCGAATAGAGTCGCGCAAACCTACCAATCATACACCCACCCAGAATTGGCACTCATGAACTCTTCACAAGCTTCTTTAAGTGCAATGTTCGGTCTCAGGTCGCTGATTGTAAGTGTCTCTCTGGTGAGCGGGTCGGTAGGGCTGCGCTTCAGATGCTCAATCAGTGTCGCACGCTCGTACGACCGACCATTCTTGGTGACTACCGGGTCGTGCATAATTTCAAACGTAATGCCGTCAACGAGGTAGTCCGGTACCTCGCGTTTCTGTTGGTTGGCGGGATCTGAAATGGCAAACGCCGTTCGCAGATCATCGCGCTTCTTTTCGAATTCCTGTTTCCGCTCTGCCTTCTCTTCTTGGCCGTCTGTTCGACTAGTTTCCCCAGCCTCCATGCGAGCATCTATCTCGTCCATGTCTTTTTTGTACTGTGTCTCCAGCATAGACTCAAGATCCGAGAGAAGATCACCTCGCCTTCTTATGCGCTCCCGTTCCCGAATATCCCATTTTGCCTTTTTGCATTTCAGGACTAGGGCAGATATGGTGGCGGCATTGGAGGTTTGCTGCGCCGATGTGGTACATAACTCGTAGGCCATAAGGGCAGATGATAGCGCCTCGTTCGGATGATTGATAGCGAGTTGCGCTTGCGCTATACGTACACTGATTAGCCCAAGGGCCTAAGTTGATATCACGCCTTTATGCTCGACGTGGTTAGGAGATCAGACGGGACCGCGTCAAGACAATCAACCATACGTACCCAGATAGAAAAAAGCTTTCATGTTGTCTTTCAACAGTTCAATACTCCGAATGCAATCGTCGATAACACCCTCCCACTTTTCCATCTTTAGCCTCGCATTTGCGCGATTGGTAAAGAGGAGCGGGTTGGCCGAGTTTTTCTGGATGGCCTGAGAGTACAAGGTCTCTGCACCTTCATAGTCGCCATTTTTGAAGCATTTGTTGCCAGAGTTTTTGAGTTGCTCGGCGGCGTATTCGTTGCCTGGCGGAGGCATAACGGCGCAGTTGACAAGGCAGTCGGGGAGCGAGGCTGGGGGGACCGTCGAGCGGAAGTGAGAGCGGAGTTAGGCCTCGATGATTGGTAGGCGGCGGGGCGTGGGGCACCTTTTGTTGCGCCTCGGTATGGAAGATTCGAGATGCCGAGCGCGATGCTGAGCTGAGCAGTGCGGAGACAGCCGGATAGAATCAGGGCGCAAAGGTGATTCTCCAGAAAGTCACTCGTCTATGTAGTATGTTGTGCTACTACCAAGATGGCCGTTTGCAGGCGCCACGTCTCTTGACCTCACCACATGCACAGCCACAATGCGATTATGTAAGCTTCCATGGCAATCGAGTAGTGTAGTACGTGGTAATAACTTAGCGATATGTACGTATGCCAGAGAGGAAATAACTTAAGAAAACATCTTCTGCCAAATGATCTGAACAGATTCTTCCCCGTGCTGCGCCCTCCTCTTACGGATAGGAAACGTAACATACAACCCCAGCGCCATCGTAGACTATGCTAGTGCACACCGTAATACCGGGCGACTAGGCCAGACGTATGTAGAAGTATGTACTAGTGTCGCCGGTCATCATTCATGTGGGGCGCTGCTGCAACTTCTGTAGAACCCACAGCCCCCACTTGAATGTGCCGTTCATCCTCAACCTTTGAGTCCCTCCTGTCCACTTTGTAAAGGTTAGGATAACTCCTCTGTCGCCTGATTTCCGCTGCCAAATCTGCTTCATCCGCTCGGCGCCGGCTAGGCGGTGCACTTCTCTTCCTGAATTTCTTGACATCTTCATCGCTCTCTGCACACGCATCTTCGTCCTCGAAAAGTGGACTTCGGGTTCTTCCTCGGTCGATGCTTCGGTTGCGTGCTCGACCCCTGAATGTATGGTCGGGTTCGGCGTCACTGCGCCGTCTGAGTTTCTTCTCTACAGAAGTGGGTGGGGAGATGGATAATGTGGGGGAAGATGGACGGTGATGCTTGCGGTAGTGGGTTCGGTAACGCGAGCCGCTGTTGCGATCATGGCCGCGAGAGGGCGAGGAGGCTCGGCGAGGGGAGTGCTGAGATGATTGCCTACGTCGCTTCAGGCGCCCACGCTCGTCTGCATCTACATCGGGTTCGACAATAGCTGGAATCTCTGGTAACGTAGTATCTTGGACGACCGCAGACTCGGCGAGCGTGTCTGCCATGGTGCCTGGCGAGTTGGCTAGTAGAAGGTGATATCTGGAAGACTTGACCCTCAGCTATAAGTGGTAAAAGTTGGGGTAAGCGGACCAAAAGGATCTGGGCACACCAGATCCTTGAACGAGTGGTTCATCAGTCTCGTGTCTGACGCAGACGGGCCGTTTGGAAGGGTGATCGTCTGTGCCTGCAGGTGAGCATCATGTTCCAAGCATGACGGCAATGGGGCGTAAGGCAGGTGTAGCGTCATTGGTCCGAGCGCTGTGCCGTAGCGCCAAAGTTACCCTCATGTGCACTGACGTGATGCCTCTTTCTTCCATTCAGAACCTGGCCTGCCCATTCATGCCAATATCCTAAACTCTGTGTCTCGGCCATTGAAACACTGTCTTGTCTTGGCACACTGTGACCCAGGTATTGCCTGTTCTAGAAGCCTGCCAGTAGCCAGTAGCCGGCTTGAAACGAATAGTTCATGACTAAATACTACCGACCATAATAACTAGTGAGCTATACACCATTTCGGACATAAGAGCCGAGGCGAGGCTGGTACGATGGAGGATTGTTTGTAGCCGATCTCGAGAAGAAGCGAGCGAAATGGAAGCCTGGAGCAACCGTATCAATATCCGATCCTGGATAGTCTTGACTTGTAAACTGTTTACTCCAAGTTAAAGTATCAAATTTCTTGTTTAGCCAGCCGATCAACCCCTTTATCTAACGGATCACACGAATAACCCCTTCACCAGTCCCTCGACAGCATCGTAAACAGCACCATCAATCATCCCACCCGTCGCTCTTTCCATGATAACAGGAACCTGATCTCTTCCGACCTTGTAGTTCCTCAGATCGTTATCCAACCCCAAGTCCTTTACTAGCTTCAAAACCCTATCTCCGACAATTTCCGCATCCACCTGGGTATCTCCAGAGGCACTCTCGCCAATAAACGGACGGAGACGGGCAATTTGCTCTGCAGCAGCGGGGTCCTGGGCCTTCAGCTTAACAACATGACCGAGTGTAAGGCAGGATGTAATGCCATGCGGTATGCCATATGGAGAACCAAGGGCATAACCTAGGGCGTGAGAGAGTCCAATGCCGCCTACGAGGTTGTATCCTATAAAGCCTAGCGATCCATAAGCAGCCAGTTGGAGCCTGGTAATGTTATCTTCGTCCTTAGGATCTTGCTTGTACTTTGGTAATGCCTCGAATAAAGTCGCTGCGCTCTGCAATGCCAGCCATCGCGCAGGCATCTCAGAAGCGGTGGGATGATAGAGTAGTTCCACAGCGTGGTCCATAGCGCGTATACCAGTGCTCATCCATAGCCGCTCAGGTGTGTATAGCGCAAATTTGGAGTCATAGAAGACGACGCTTGGGACGAGCTCTTTTGCTCTGACGCCTATCTTCACTCCATCGACTCCGGTGTAGCCTGCTATGAAGGTGCATTCAGCTGCACCCAGAGTCGTGGGGATAGTAATGTGATATAGGAATTTTCCAGTCTTTTCGTGCAAACGATAACTGATGGCTTTGGCGCTATCGATGGGACTTCCACCGCCAATAGAGATGACGGTGTCGATGGTTTCGTCTTTTTTCACCAATTTGGTTGCTTCATCAAGTTGGGCAACAGGTGCATGTTCGCCAATCTTGCTGAACGTCCCGGCATGTTTTTCGCCCAAAAGCTCTTCGACTTGTTTCACCAAGGGAGTCTTGGTAGCCAGCGAAGTACCCGTAATGATAAAGGCCTTGCTGGATGTCTTTGGAAGACAGGCAAGCAGATATTTGGTTACTGAGTCTGCACCATAATATAGTCTTTGCAGTTGTGTGGGCTGCCATAAACCAGAGAGAGGGCGATTCGTCGCCTCAGTCATGTTGGGCTTGAGTTCAAACAGAGTAGACTTGTATCGCGCGCTATAAACAAGCCCAAGGGGACTCGTATCTGATGTTACAGCCGGCTGGCAAGAAAAGAGATCAAGCTTATTGGAGTATGAACACGAACTATATACAAATACATGGATGAAACTGAAGGAAACTTACAGCTTTAATAACAGATATGTATGTTACAAAAGCAGTTTGAGAAGCGGAATCAGGCCGCCTTGGAAAAAAATACCAAGCGTTCCTAAACAATACGTGCATGAGTCGTGATGGTAAATCTAACAGTTATTGGACAAGTCGTATGCAGCCAAGGACAAGAAGTGGGAACGATAAATGAGGGAAATGAGCAGAAACAAAAATTCTTCACCCGACAGTCCATGTTTGAAACATGCATGTGAACATTTCAATCGTTGATTTAGAGCGGAGAAGTTAGCTGAGCGCTACCATCTCGCAACTCCAGGCTATGGTACACTCGTTGGCTCCGCCATGGATTACGTCATCATCCATCCCATATACTATCTTTTGTTCGCCAGAGGATATCACCCTTTCGTTATTCCGACATGAACCAAAGATCCGTAGTAGTAAAACAAACGCTAATGTGAGAAGAGAAATCGTCAAATATGATACACAGATGCTCAAACACGGAGAGGTATATGGAAGTCTACGCATGTAGACCTGACAGACCAGCCGTGGCCGAATGCAAGACGCCTGCTTTTAGACGTGAAGAGGCACGAACGGAAAACACAAAACCCAGGCAAACGATTGAAGCGCTTACTGCTTCTTCTCGCCTTCACCCTCAGGCTGTTGAGACTGCTCGCTCTGGTTTTGGCTCTCAGAGCGGGCCTTGTGCATCTGGTCGAACAGGCTAAGAGAAGCGTTCTGGAGCTCGTCGGTCTTTTCCTTGATCTCAGCGGCAGTGGCAGTACCCTCGCCAGATTGGCTCTGGGAAATGAACTCGCGCATGGAGGCAATCTTCTCCTTGATCTTCTCAGCCTCAGTCTTGTCGAGACGGTCCTCGAACTCTTTGAGGGCCTTCTCGGTATCGTTAACGACGCTGTCAGCGCGGTTGGCGGCCTCAATGGCGTTCTTGCGCTCCTTGTCCTGCTCGGCATACTGCTCAGAGTCCCTGACCATGCTCTCAATCTCGGACTCGGAAAGACCGGAACCAGAAGCAATGGTGATAGACTGGTCCTTGTTGGTAGACTTGTCCTTAGCGTGAACGTGGACAATGGAGTCAGCATCGATGTCGAAGGTAACCTCGATTTGAGGCACACCGCGGTGGGCCGGAGGAATGCCAACAAGCTGGAAGTTTCCGAGGAGCTTGTTGTCGCGGACGAGCTCACGCTCACCCTGGTAAACCTTGATCTCGACAGCGCTCTGGAAGTCGGCTGCAGTGGAGAAAACCTGGGACTTCTTCGTGGGGATGGTGGTGTTACGGTTGATCAAACGGGTGAAAACTCCACCAAGGGTCTCGATACCGAGCGAGAGAGGAGTAACGTCGAGCAGAAGAAGGTCAGTGACCTCGCCAGCAAGGACAGCACCCTGGATAGCAGCACCAATAGCAACGGCCTCATCAGGGTTGACGGACTTGGCGGGATCGCGGCCGAAAATGCTCTTGACGGACTCAGTGACCTTGGGCATACGGGTCATGCCACCAACAAGGATGACCTCGGAGATGTCAGTGGGCTTCAGGTTGGCGTCCTTGAGAGCCTTGCGGACAGGCTCAACAGTGCGGCTAATAAGAGGATCCATCATCTTCTCAAGCTGAGCGCGGGTCAGCTTGGTGTTGATGTGCTTGGGACCGGAAGCGTCGGCAGTGATGAAAGGCAGGTTGATGTCAGTCTGCGATGAAGAAGACAGTTCAATCTTGGCCTTCTCAGCAGCCTCACGGATACGCTGAATGGCCATGCGGTCGTTGTTCAGGTCAATGCCCTGCTCCTTCTTGAACTGGTCGACGAGGTGGCGGACAAGGGTAATATCGAAGTCCTCACCACCGAGATGAGTATCACCGTTGGTGGACTTGACCTCAAAGACACCGGACTGAATCTCAAGGATGGAGATATCGAAAGTTCCACCACCAAGATCGTAGACAGCTACGACGTTGTCGGTGGCCTTGTCGAGACCATAGGCGAGAGCAGCAGCAGTGGGTTCGTTGACGACACGGAGAACATTGAGACCGGCGATCTGACCAGCATCCTTGGTGGCTTGACGCTGGGAGTCGTTGAAGTAGGCGGGGACAGTGACGACAGCGTTCTTGACGTTCTTGCCCATGTATGCTTCGGCAGTCTCCTTCATCTTTCCAAGGACGAAACCACCAACCTGGGAAGGCGAGTACTTCTGTCCTTGAGCCTCGAGCCAGGCATCACCGTTGGTGTGCTGGACGATCTTGTATGGGACTTGCTTGATGTCACGCTGGACCTCAGCGTCTGTGAACTTGCGACCGATGAGACGCTTGGTGGCAAAGAGAGTGTTCTCTGGGTTGACGACAGCCTGGCGCTTGGCGGCAATACCGACAAGACGCTCGCCCTCTTTTGTGAAACCAACGACTGATGGTGTTGTACGACCACCTGTGAAAAGTTTTTGTTAGCATTGCGGTCGGAGTCAAAGTGACGTTTGTAGCATACCCTCAGAGTTCTCGATGATGCGGGGAACTTTGCCCTCCATGACAGCGACAGCAGAGTTGGTGGTACCCAGATCAATACCAATGACAGAGCCCTTTACCTTCTCGTCGCCGCCCTCAGCATATCCTCGCGCAAACATGGCCGGAGCCCTGAATGCGGGAGTGCGTCTCGCCGCCGAAGCCGCACGAGGCAAAAACTGCGATGAGGTCAGAAAATGCTTCAATAATGATTATCGTTTCAATTGCACAAATACTTACATTCCGTGATAACCTTGAGGACAGCATTGTGACTTGAGTAAGACGCTGCGGAATTGGATGCAGGCGACGAAAAATTGGGTGTAGAATGGATGGGTGGGAAGATGGGTGGATTATATGATGTAGTGATGGAAGCTTTGACGATAGACAAAATTCTCGGAGAAGGTTCTAGCTCGTTTTGGTGCTGGATTGCCCGCCGAGGTTCCGCTGTAAATGTCTGTGCTTCCGAATAGTAGCGAAATATTGTACGACGCGACATAAACCCGGAAGAGGAGGCGAGAGGCGTATTTTTGCCATTATACAATTGGCTCTGCCGCCACAACGGCGCCTGTCGTGTTGACATTAACGACTGTCCCAGTGCGGAAGGCTTGGCGCATGCGTGCGCGTGTGGGGGAGATGCTTGTCAATGGTGACGCCCGGAGCACCTCGAAACACTGCCACCCTTACGTCCATTCGCACTGCACCCTTATTTCCAACCCCTCGATCAAGGCGCCCTCTGATACGAAACAGCCCTAGCACTGCATTCTCACCTGAAAAGTATTATTATCTACTCCGTCTACTTCCTGCATTTGTGCCCCCAAGCATCCTGTGACGTAAAGCGCCTCCTACCGCCGAGCCACACCAGCTCCGCTCACTTATTAACCAGACACGGAGACATGCAACCCTCTGCCACCTGACCGCGGAATTATGGCAGTCGATGACATTCTGTGCGTGTTTGGGCCCGTGTTTTCCTATTTCCCTTTTTCTGACAGCAACAGGAGTCGAGACACGGATACTTTTGTACTGGCTCAAAAGGCCTACTATCCTACAAAGATACCCATCGCGTGAGCACTGTACTACGGCGTCCAACTCGCGTGGAAAGCTGACGTTTGTAGACATTACCAATTACGCCATTTCATCTCGTGTCCCGAACCCGACCTTCTCTACTATGCGAGTGGCGCGGCCGTCTACTGCCTCAATGCCGCTACACGAACACAAGCACACGTAACGACTCTACCCTGGGAAGCACGCTGCACTGCATCCGGATACGGCTATGTCTGCGTCGGAGGAGAAGAGCATGGCAATTTTGCTGCCATCAAGGTGACGGGCTTCCCTCCTGAAGACCCATCCAACGTCGATGCCTCGTTGCCTCTGGAATTCGAACACCGCCTGTCTCGGCCACCCCTTCTGGGTGCTGCGTCGCACATACGTCTCGAGAAGATTGGTGCCGACATAGTCAACTCAATATCGATACACAAGATGCCCGGTGAGAGCGGTGGTCAGGATGAGATCGTGGCGGTACTCACCAACAATGACAAGACGGTGCGCATATACTCGCTCACACAGAATCTGGAACTTGCAGTACTAGACCTGCCCTTTGCGATGAACCATGCTTCAATATCTCCAGATGGACAAATGTTGGTGGCTGTGGGTGATGCGCCCATCGGGTACTTTTTTGAGAGAACAAAATCACAAAAGTCTGAGAACAAGATAGCGGAAGGGTGGATACAGTCATCACCGCCGGAGTGGGAGCTACTCAAGCACGTGACCTTGCACCGACCTGCAAACTCGCATGCAGACGGTTACTTTACTACGGCGTGGTCACCGTCTGGCCGTCTTTGTGCAGTTGGGTCCGAGTGTGGATACATTACTGTGTTTGATGTTGAACTTTTGAAGATAGTCGAGTATGGAGAAGAAGCCATTTTGCAGTTGCTCAGTTCCACGCGACCTGATACTCGGGCTGGGCCCGGTGCAGTACGAACAATGCACTTCTCGCCTGCGCCATGGGACTTTCTGGTATGGAGCGAAGATCAAGGCAGAGTATGCATCGCTGATTTGCGAGCTGGTCTGAAGGTCAAACAAACAGTCACATTGGATCCAAAAGAAGAAGGCCTAGAAAGTGTTGAACTGGCTGATTTCGACTTGACCCTTAGCCCAGAGATGCATGAGTTGCGTCGCGAAGCAGACTTTATTCGGAGATATCGCCGTGCACTCGACACCGAAGGAACTACAGTGCCTGTAACCGTCACACACGAGTACCGCTTCGAGGCTGATTCCGAGCGACAGAGGCTACATCGCCGGCTGGGTGTCGTTGAGTCAGACAATGATCCACTTGGCTTGACAGCGCGCGAAAGACAAGTCCTCAGTGCGTTACGAACAAGTCACCGACAACGAGAAGAGTCACGTGAGCAGGAAATAACACCCCGAAGCATCAACTACACGGCTTCTGGGCCACTGGACGCTGTGCCGTATGTTACGTACTTATTGCCATAGAGATATCTGGGCTAACATGATGTAGAGAACCTACGGCTAGAGAAGTTGCCGAAGCTATGGCTCAGTTCATGTCTGAGAGGACGGGTCAGAATCATGCTCCCCGCTGGTTCCATGAGCGTACAACGCCTCGACGCCAGGCTTCTGTCATTGTCTCAATTAATGAAGGCACGATCAATGCGCCAGTGACACTTACAAATATTACCGACTCTGCCATTACGCGGTCGCCAAATCCAGTGCCGGCACAAGCACGTCGTATGACTAGCGAATTGATGGCATCCACTGATGAAGCGTGGCGCACAGTCGAGGAGGTGCTTAACGCAGAGCAGACACGGGCTACGAACCGTAACACGACATCACATCCATCTGCTCCTGGTACTGAAGGCAACGCTACCGTGCCTGAACTGCGTAACGAACTTCGTCGAATTCGTCAACTAACGCAAGCACGTGAGCGTCTCCGAAACGCGCGTGCTAGCCAGACTTTATCAGACACGTATGAAATGAGCCTTGGTTTCCGCCGTCCGGCAAACCGCCTAAGTCACGACCCACGTTTGGGTGTGCGCACAGCGGGGCTGGCCATGAGCCAGGATGGGCGAACACTGTACTGCGGAACGGAAGAAGGTATCTTCGAACTCAAGATGAACGTTCATGTGAGGAAGGGATTTCCTGCAATCAACCCGCGATAAATTGGCGCAAACGAGGGGGGTTTAAGTTTTCCAGACTCTGGATTGGGTTGTTTCATGACGAGCGCGCATTCGTGGCGTTTATGGTCGTATCTTCAGCACCGGCATTCGTCTTGGCGGACAGGTTCGGGCGCACTGCATGTCGTGTGGTAATGATTGTGTTTGTTTGTGTAGGCTCAAATTGGTCGAAGCAGTTATACCCGTGCGTTGAAGTAATGAAAAAGCATTTGCATACCTCGTAGGCCAGCGATAGCTATTTTGTGAATGCTTGAGATGGTGGGTTCGTTATCGCAATCTGGGGTAAATGCCCCCCTCCCATGTTGCTCCGTGTGCGGAACCGTGCGGGCGATGTTCGGAGCGAGGGAACAGTGCCGATTTGCCCTCGATGGCGCAATTCCAGCGGTGACTCCCCACAGGTCAGGACTAGAGTGCCTTGCAGACGGCCTGTGGAAGTGCCGTTTGGTGCTTTTGATGTTTGGACTCACGCACCCGAAAGCTTAAAGTCTGCGGATTGCATCCATTGTTGCTGTACTAGACCTCCTCTGTACTTCAACACTCGCATTTCGTCATTCCCTCGACGCGCATCACAGATCTTGTGAGCCCTACGCCACTCAATCTTCCTTCCAGTCCGCAACGCGGACGCACAATACTCACTATGGCTGGAGAGAGCTCCAAAAAGACCAACGCCAGCGGCAAGGCTGCCCTTCCGCTCGACATTGACGGCCATAACCTACCGCCCTCGCCGGCGCCCAGCTCTCCCCGTAATGGCAGGAAGTATGCACTGATGACGGAGCTGGTGTACACGGAGAGCAGCGACCAGTACAATGCCAGCTCCGTTCCCATCTACCAGGTAAGCCAGCACGTTGTTGTGGATAAGGACAGTTGCGTTTGAGCCGCAGCTAACACTCTCAGTCTGCCACATTCAAACAAGAGTCTGCAAGCGGCGGCGGCGGCGAATATGATTACACACGCTCAGGCAATCCCACACGCACACATCTCGAGCGACATCTGGCCAAAATTATGAACGCAAACCGCGCGCTCGTTGTTTCGTCGGGCATGGGTGCTCTCGACGTCATCACCCGCCTCCTACGACCTGGCGACGAAGTCATCACCGGTGATGACCTGTACGGTGGCACAAACAGGCTGCTCAAATATCTCTCGACACACGGTGGCATAATCGTGCACCACGTCGATACCACAAATCCCGAAAAGGTGCGCGAAGTGGTGAACAACAAGACAGCCATGGTGCTCCTCGAGACACCAACGAACCCGTTGATCAAGATCTGCGACATCCCCACAATTGCCAACATCGCCCATGCCGCGAACCCCACTGCCATTGTTGCAGTCGACAACACCATGATGTCTCCCATGCTGTTGAACCCGCTCGACCTTGGCTCTGACATTGTGTATGAATCCGGCACCAAGTACCTTTCTGGTCACCACGATCTCATGGCTGGCGTCATTGCCGTTAACGACTCTGCTCTGGGAGATCGTCTCTACTTCACCATCAATGCTTCAGGATGTGGCCTTTCGCCCTTTGACTCATGGCTGCTCCTTCGTGGTATCAAGACTCTGGGTGTTCGTATGGAGAAGCAGCAGGAGAATGCGATGCGCATCGCCACTTTCCTCGAGTCTCACGGCTTCAAGGTCCGCTATCCAGGCCTCAAGTCGCACCCGCAATACGACTTGCACTGGAGTATGGCACGTGGCGCTGGCGCTGTGCTGTCTTTTGAAACTGGTGATGTTACCGTTAGTGAACGCATTGTCGAGAGCGCGAGGCTCTGGGGTATTAGTGTAAGCTTTGGGTGTGTAAACTCGCTCATCAGCATGCCTTGCCGCATGAGCCACGCGAGCATTGACGAGAAGACGAGGAAGGAGAGGAATATGCCTGAAGACATTATTAGGCTATGCGTTGGCATTGAAGATCCAGAGGATCTAATCGATGATCTGAGTCGTGCTGTAAGTCCCCGAAGACGCTATTCGGGAATTAAGATGCTAATAAGGCATAGCTCGTCCAAGCTGGTGCTGTCAACATCACAACCGAAGGCTTCCAGGCTCTCGCTGCAGAAGCTCCCGCTCCTACTCAGCCCTCGGAGGCTGCTGCTCCTGCTCCTACGGAGTCGTGAACAAAAAAGAAACTCCCACTCTAGTCACCTCTGTCCTGCCTTGTTCGAGGCAAGTTAACGTGATACTCTTTCTTCTCTAGCCGTCAGAGAAACACTTCGCTTCGCAACTCTCTCTGACCCAGTCACCTCTGTCACTGCCTCTTGTTGGAGGCATAGTGTTAACGTGATATTTGTCTGCTCAGTTTAGCATTGCGCGACGTATTGGGGGCGCTTATGAAGGCTAGCATATCTTCCCTATCGTCGAATAAAATTTACTTGCTGCAAGCGCGTGTCCATGTTCATATTTTTGTTCTTGTTTTTTTGTTGTAATTGCACATGCTTGGTCGGCTGACTGAGGCGTGGTGAAAGGGCAAAAAAGTTGTGATTTCGGTGAAGAGGGCAGCGAGGCAGCACAAAGGGTCCGTTTATGTCTTTTGTTTATACTCCACACCGATGAGGAGGATTTACAGAAGAAAGGTCTTTGCGTCTGGACAAGATACTATGACCAATGGTCCGTCTGTATTAGACCGATGGGGCCGAATACGGCCAATCCCGTGACTTGGTTGCCAAGAAACTGGGTAGGCTGACTTGTTATATGAGAATGAATCCCGAAGCTCCGTTACCTTTGCCAACATCTCGAAAAGCCCGCCTGAACAAGCTGTATTGGTTTGCAAGCAACCGGCATCTACTCTGAGCATTGCTTGAACCGGTCTGGCGTGCCTGTTTAGTTTAGGATCCTCCACCCGCCCCTTCCATTTTTGAAACCCATCTCGAACACATAGCATCACGCCCATGGCATGTTGATGCGGGGAGTACCTGCGTGCCTGAAACAATCACCAGGCACGCCTAGAGAGCTTCCCTACAAAAGTTGACAATTGACAAGAGACGTGTCTTTTCGCCTTGTTTGCAAAAAAAAACCAATAAAAAGAAGTCTGATTTGAAAAGGCTCAACCCGAGTTTCTATCGATTGTGAAGAGGGAACAAAAGGCTGGGCAGCGATCTCACTAGTTCCGGTGCGCCACCAGACCGAGGTACGCGCGCGCACGAGAGAGATCAACGCCTGAATACGAGAAAGAACAGCAAGGATCCATTGGGAATTTGTTCACGATGCCAATGCAGTTCTTGGAGCTTCCCCGCGAACTGCGGGACATGATCTACACGGAGATGCTTATGCCGACTGAGCCCCTACCCAGTGGTCAAGACACACAAACAGCGGGCAATTGGTACCTGGTACGGCAGGCGCACCAGCCCAGCGCAGACAGCAGTCGATGTTTTGTGTCGTTGCGAGCGATGCCGAGCACGTGCGCGAGTGTTTTGGCGAGCAACCACCAGATCTATCAAGAGATGATGCAGATAGCCGGCAAGGCCCGGCAGGCGGGGCAGCTGGTCTCGCGGATGGATTGTCTTGTGCAGAACAACGCGCATTACTTTACTTGGCTTGCTGTGCCATTTGTCAAGCCGGCGGACGGGAGCGCGCGGAGACTAGAGGAAGAGAAGGGGCAGAGCTGGGCAAGCAAGATTATGGAGAGCTGGATTTGGGTCGTCAGCTTTTTCAATGCGTGGATGGAGAGTGATGTCAAGGGGAGAAGCAACAGCAGCAGCACTGGACTCTTTTCTTACACACGGTCTTACGCGAATATTGAGCGGCTGTGGGTGGATATTCGGCCGGTGGGATCTACGATATCGAATGGGTCAGGGGCAGGAACAGCAACGACGCATGGCGAAATGACAAGTTGGGCTATATGTGCGGCTCTCAAGCACATGTTTGACAACGGCCCGGATATGATGCGCAGCAACCGGCGTATAGACTGCGTTGACGAAGTCATCCTGAACGTTGTTCCACGTGCACGTACGGCATCGGGGAGTCCCTGGGGAGACGAAAGCGACGAGGATACACTGGTAATAGCAAACTCTTCTTCCTCTTCTTCCTCTGACGAGGCTGAGACGGAGCGCCTACGAAACGAACTGGTAGATGTTTGGGACAAGATCTGGGGTGCGACAGATGGGAGGGATATGAGGGCAAGGCTGTACCGCACGCTGCTCGAGAGAATCAAGCGCGTGCGGATATGCGTCGATGGAGTGACTTTTAGGACCAGAGGACTAGCGGTGGAGCTGGAGAGGGGGCGAGCAGAAATGAGGAGGATCCAGATGCGATAATACGTATAGATGGCATATGGGGCAGGACTCCAGGTTTAGAATGGGCATGCTCTTGGTCGTTCACGGGTCATAGCTGCGTGTGGAGACGAAGGGCTTCGGAGATTAGTTGGCTGAAGCATGTTCGGTGCGCGGTTTTTTTTCTTTTCTTCTCTCTGGTTCTTTTCCTTTTCTGTCGTTCAACGTTTCTTATGCCGGGCTGTGGGGACGGATGGATGGCGGGAAGGAACATGATGGGGTCTACGACCAAGGTGCCGACGAGGTTCCTTAGATATATGCCGTGGCAAGCATGGGACAGTGTCGTGGAACATGGCGGTATTCCCGATAGCGACGGGAGGCGCTGGAAATAGAGTGGGAGCTAGAACGTCACAGCCTCGTCTATGGCAATCTAGAAATGGCAGACGGACGAGGCATGTCCATGCTCGAGCCACGACGCTGACGAGGCTTTTGGTCGCTGAGTCAAAGGCACGGGCTGCGATTGGCTGGGCGGCGTCAGGGGCAAGGGCGACCCTCGGTTCGGCACGAGACTGTCCAGACCTCCCCTTCTGCCTCCAATCCTGCCACTCCACTTCCATACCAACTGACACCCATTGACACTCACGGACACTCGCGTCCATCATCGGTCCTGACACATGTGTAACGCACGTCGATCCAGCATGCCATTGTCCGCACCATGGTCATCACACACGACCTCGGTCATGCAGTATCAAGGATGCTGAGAGCTCACCCCGCGATGGCAACGATTGCTGCAACAGAGACACGGCAATCGGCGCCAAGTAGCAACAGAACAGCCAGCACATAACCAGCAGATGCCAACTCCCCAACACCAAGAGAGACCGCTAGTGGCGTACTTGGCACGGTCAACATACGTTTCATGAAACAGTGCTCCGCGTCGCACCCCTTGCACCTTGAGGCGACTGGGCATTCTTTACGAAAGGCCCCCACCAGCATCCCCCGCGCAATTGGCCAACCGCCGCCGCCTTGGCTCAGGGGCACACTGTGCAAAACGGCCCCTGCATGCCAACCGGCCTCGCCATCGCATGTCTGACCATCCATGGCCGGTGCCAGGACCCGCGGGAGCGAATCCCCGTGGGCGCCACTGGGTTACGCAAAGCATTTTGTGCAGATGCTGCCATCGCTGCCATTTTTGCTATACGCTCCGTTTTATATTTAAGCACACGCTGCTTGATCCCCACTCCAACTTGATCCGCCCTTTCGCCCTGTTGCTCCTCTTATTCAGAACGTTCCCTCCACACGTTCTTTCCACTCTTTGCATCGCTTCTTTGACTCGTGTCACTCTCTATACCTCGAATATTTAGTGGGCCTCTTTTTGTTTGGCTCTCTCGCCTCTCGCCTCTCGCTATAGCATTGACCACTTCGCTGGCCCGGCCCTAACCCACCATACACCTCAACTGCTGGTCGGTTGCGCGCTGATCTCTCGTGCGTTTTGCCGACACAATGGCGCCGTCAACGACCTCGACGTCCAAGACGCTTCGCCCGGACAACCTGGAAATCCGACCTCCTTCAAATGCGTCGCACAATGATGCCGACGACGGACCAATATCCCCACGATCATGGCGACACCGTGCTGTCACCTACCAAGTTCCTTCAAGGCGCCAGACCACTGGCAGCCTTGATGCCGAAGACTACTTTGTGAGCAGCTAGTTCTATTGACTGTGTATACAAATGGGCTAACAGAAGTGCTCAGGTCGGACCTCGTGACATGGCCAAACACAGTAAATGGCCATACTTCATGCGAATGCATGGTTCCGTCTTTCCCAAGATGATCTTGCCACTCATCGTTATTACTATCTGGGCGACTGCAATCACCTGTATTTCACAATTCGTCTATCCTCTCGTTGTCAGCAACTTGCTTCTCACTGTCCTCGGTTTCGTCGTTGGTCTCGCCATTTCTTTCCGCACAAGCACGGCTTATGAGCGCTACACTGAAGGCCGCAAGTACTGGAGTCAACTTATCTTCGTCAGCCAGAACCTAGCAAGAACAATCTGGATCCACGCCAAGGAGCGCGAAGGCGAGCTTGGTAAGGAAGACTTGCTTAACAAGCTGTCTGCCCTCAATCTGCTCAACGCGTATGCCTGCTCCATCAAGCACAGGCTTCGATTTGAGCCTGGTATCGACTACCCCGACCTCCGCGACCGTGTTGAGTTCCTCGACACCTTTGCTCGCGCTGCCGAAGTTGATATCCCCGCTCCCGCTGATAAGAAGAAGTTGAAGGCCGTTGGTGAATACCTCGGCGTCACTTTTGCCGAGTCCAACCCTCGCAAGAGGATCAAGCGCTCCAAGAAGCCCCTCGGTAACCTGTCGCTCGAAATCCTCAACCACATCTCCGCCTATGTTCACAGCCTCATCGAAAACGAAACCTTGAATGTTGGTCTGTACCAAAATCAAGCCATTACCAGCATCGTACAGCTCAACGAAGCTCTTATCGGTATGGACCGTGTCCTGCAAACCCCTCTGCCTATCGCCTATTCGATCGCCATTTCTCAAATTACCTGGGTCTACGTCATGATGTTGCCTTTCCAACTGTGGGATAATCTTCGCTGGATCACTATTCCCGGCTGTATCTTCGCAGCCTACATCATGTAAGTTCTCCATGGATATACATATAGTCGCTTTACATTTTCTAACCTGGTTTACTAGCATCGGTCTCTCCGCTATTGGTCGCGAAATTGAGAACCCCTTCGGTCATGACGTTAATGATCTGCCGCTTGAAGCCTTCTGCGAAGAACTGGAAATGGATATTGACTACATCACTTCTCAACCCCCACCTGTTGCTCGCGAATACATGCGCCGCGATGGCAATATGCCCATCTGGCCGCTCAGCCACAAGAACTACAACAGCTGGATGTCGCGAAGCAAGCAGGATATCCGCGATGCGCTCATGACGAAGACAAAGGCTGACATGATTGTCCGCAAGAGCTTCGCTGTCCCAAGGGAGAGCGAGAGCATTGAGGAGAAGGAGCAGGGTATCTCGCAGCAACCACACCACCAGGAATAATAGGTGTGTGTAGGTGACTGGTTGTCGCCGAACAAAAAGTAATATTTTGAATTCGTCATCACATCTTTATCTTTTGATCATTAGAGCGGTTTGGCGCTGGGCCGTAGTTTATTCTTTTTCTAAAAACTCTTACTTTTTAAGCCTGGTATCTTTGTAAATGTCTGGAGGAGCTTTCCAACATGTTTTTTCGGGGAAGCGGAAGGAGAGGAAGGAAGAATGTGCATATGTCAATGGGGGGACCGGTGGGGGAGATCACGTATGCCTATGGTTTATGGTATGGCTGCACGATGTTATTCACCTTGTCGACGAGACGAGATTTAAGTATAATGTCATCTTTACCATATACTTTTTTACTTGCACCGTTTCTCCTGTTGTGATTGAGTGGTTCGCTTGTGGCTCGGGTGAATAAGAGACACAAGTGGTATATGAGCATGTAGTAAGCGGAATGGATGATTTGGGAAAAGGCTGCGAAACAGCAAAGAGTGCTTTTTTGTCGCATATCTTAAGGTGCTCATGGCGAGCCTAGTTTGATATTTTTGGTCACATGTCACGCGATTTACATATGCTTTGAGGTCGTGAGAACTGTAAATACCCATGTCCACATTCACGTTCAAAACTAGTGGGTAAGCAACTCCGCGCGAAAGCCCCACATGTCGGCCAAACCTTCCGCCGCCCAAAATTTCGAGCTACGCCGGGAACTTTTTTGTCCAACTTTCCATTGACAAAACACTAACACCGGATACTGTCTATAAACCCTCGGAAATATGTTCGCGGTACCCGGATGGAACGTCTCCGCGCAGGTCCAGACGCAGGTCGAAGCGCCCAAGCCAAAGGATCAGACTAAACCTGGAAAGAAGGCGCAGAAGCGCAAGGAAAGGCGCGAAGAGAAGGAGGTCAATGCGGATAATTTGGCTGAAAAATGGGAGAGCATAACGAGTGGCAAGAGTGGAGAGGTCAAGCAGAGTAAGACATCGGAGGCAGATGGCACGGTAGAGGCAGATGATGCGGCGCAAGAGAAGCGCGGGAAGAAGAGGAAGAGGGGAAAGTCTGGAGGCAATAAGGATAGACAGCCGGACGAGGATGGTACAAAGGAAGCAGAGGAAGTAGTAGGAGAAGCGAAACCTTCTCCTGCAAAGGCTTCTGAAGAAAAGAGTGCAACCACCGATGGCGAGTCGAAACGCGACAAGAAGAAGCGCAAGAAGGAGTCGAAAGCCGACAAACTCCTCGCGGCGAACGCAGCCGAAGCAAAAGCTGTGCCAGTGGCACCAACTCTCGAAAACCTCCTGCCCGAGCCTAAGGGCCTCACACCGCTGCAACGATCTATGCGTAGCAAGCTAGCCAGCGCCCGATTCCGCCATCTCAATGAAGCACTCTACACGAAACCTTCTGCCGACAGCGCTTCGCTCTTCAAAGAAGACCCCTCCATGTTCGAAGACTACCACCGTGGTTTCGCCCAACAAGTCGAAGTATGGCCCTCGAATCCCGTCGACAGCTACGTAAATAGCATCCTCGTCCGCGCCAAACTCCGCAACAAAGACCAGCGCAAAGACCGCAAAGCACAAAATAAATCCGCCGTACGCCGTGGCCCCGGCTTCGAAGACGAGCAAGACACTACATCCATCGCGCCTCCCCGCGGCGACGCCAAACCCCTCCCCCGCGACTTCAAAGGCCACAGCACAATCGCCGACCTAGGCTGCGGCACGGCCTCTCTCTCCTACCGCCTGCAACCCCACCTGGCCTCCCTAAACCTAACCTTCCACTCCTTCGACCTCTCGCAACCCAGCGGCCCCTCCGGCCCCCTCGTCACCGTCGCCGACATCGCCGCCCTCCCCCTCGCCGACAACAGCGTCGACGTCGCAATCTTCTGCCTCGCCCTCATGGGCACAAACTGGCTCGACTTCATCGACGAGGCATATCGCATCTTGCGCTGGCGCGGCGAACTATGGGTGTCAGAGATCAAATCGAGGTTTGGCCGTGTGGACAAGAAGAAAGGTGGTGTGCCGATTAATTCGATTGGGTCGCTGAGGAAAAACGTGGATAGTAAGAAACTCGCTGCTGGCGCTGGTTCGGCGGCGGCGGCAGCATTGAAGAATAAGAATAAGAAGAAGGGGGCGCAAAAGGGAGACAAGGCGCCGGAGGAGGGCCCAGAGGATTCAGAAGATGAGGCGGAGCTGGCGGTTGTGGTGGATGGACAGGATGCAAAGGAGGGAACAGATGTATCGGCTTTTGTCAATGTTCTGCGCAAACACGGGTTTGTGCTCGATGCGCTGCCAGAGCGACCAGGGGATGCGATTGATCTGAGCAACAAGATGTTTGTCAAGATGCAGTTTGTCAAGGCGGCGCATCCCAGCCGGGGCAAGAACGCACGTGAGGATCAAAAGGAGGGGGCTGTGGCGCAGAGGGGTGGCGGGCTCAAGTTTGGGCTCAAGGGCAAGCGTATGGGCTTGGGTGGTGGGGATGAGGATGAGGGAGAGGCAGACAATGCGGTGTTGAAGCCGTGTTTGTACAAGATTAGGTAAACAACAAGGGGGAAGTGGATGTTGGGGGGATATATGTGGGATCACGGGGTTCATGATACTCTAATAAAATCTTTTTTTGAAAGAGTGTTTGATTCAATCATACATCTCTTCTTGTTTCGTTTTTCTCTCTTGTACTTGTTGTTCACGTTGTCCTCAATGAAACCCTTGTGTATTTCCAACCGTGCTTGTTAGCAGTACACATGCAGGATATGCTATGCTGTACCATGTCAACGCCACATTTTCCTCGAGTTCATCTACTCGAATCAACTCCATACAGGGGAACTTGTGCCATACAGGCTTATGGTGGTCCCAAGTAAGCATCGTTTAAGAAACCCTCGACAGGTTGATGATTCCGAGTATGCCTTTCTTCTATCCTTGATTCAAAGTCGGAACCTAACCGCCAAGGAGGAAACTTGCAGCGTGCTCTACGTTACCACCAAACATCTCCAGGGCTTGTATGGCTTCTTGTTCAGAACAGCTAACTATGCTAGTGAGCTGCTGGACGTGTTCGCGGGGAAACCTGGAGTTGGACGCAGCAGGCGCAGGCGCTTTGGGTGCTGCTGGCTGGGCTTGCGTTTGTGCGGGCTGAGACGATGATGATGAGGATGCGCCAGTGTTGGAGGGGCCAGCTTGCGAAGAGCCCTTGGGTCGCACAGCACCCGTCTTTGCACCAATCTCTTCACCATTAGGTCCGGAAACGGTAGGCTCATTCAACTCGGCCTCCTCGAAGCTCCTGGGAATCTCTGACTCGTGTAAAAAGGGAACTTCTTGGCCTTCAAAGCATAGCGCATTCTTCTCGAGATCGATCTTGGCACGGTAGCGCTTCAGCATGTCGAGGCCAAAGAGAAGATCGACGTCCTTGCCTTCCATGACAGTGAAGGCACAAGGCATAACTGCGCCTCCAATCTTGATCTCGGCGTGGTGAACACGACCCAGGATTCGTGCTGTACCGACACCACGTGCCATACCGGCATATCGGACATCCATCAGTCGCATGATACCACATCGCTCTGCGCAGTCAGGGGACATGATGGTAGCCTGGGCGCCAGAGTCGACAAAGGCCTTGACGGGCACGCCGTTGACTTCGGTGTTGACGTAGAGCATGTGTACGCGCGTGAATACTGCATCATGTCAGTGTTTGTGGTTCAGCTGCTACTACAGGAAAAATTGAGAGGTTGAGGGTTTCAAAGATCAAAATTAATAATATACGTGAAACCATGGCGGTACTCACCCTCTGGATTCTCGTCATATGCCTTTTGCAGATTCTCCACAACACGGTCCTGGCGGATAATGTCTTCAATCTTGCGCTGGGCCTCGACGTTGAAAGGGTCCTCGTTGAGCAGGGCGATTTGGTTCTGGCGCTCGCGCTCTGATTCCTCTGCCTGGCGCTGCCTCTGGGCATATGTATTCCTCCATCTGGTGGCGTCGTTGACGGCGGCGGCGAGTTCCGGGTCGGCCTGGCGTAACTTGTTCATCTGCTGGGGGTCGTTGAGGACCAGTTGTCGCACACCCTCTGGATCCGGCTGGGCTGGTCTGCCCGACTGGTGCATGTTCCTGTTTGGTCGAGGTGCGGCGCGCAATACAACGGCCAGCATCTCACCATCCTTGATACCGGCATCCTCTAATGTCTGTGTGTCGATGGCGACGGGTTGGCCGTTTAGGTAGAGGCTCTGTGCGGCGGCGGGCAGGCTCGTGTCGGCTTCGATGAAGCCCTTGAGATCTTTGATGGTGCTCCCGGGAGGCAGTTCGAGTGTCAGCAGGTCTGCGTCGGCGGGGGTGCCGGGCGCAGTGATGGATATGGTGACGCGCGGCCTAGAGAGAGTAGGTTAGCAGTGTGCCTGGGAGGATATCGGCCGTGGGAGGCGGTGATGGTGGTGGTGGTGGTGGTGGGACAGAAACGGCTCCGGGCTCGACTCACATGGCGGATCGGGGAGGGGCGCTGGGGCGTATGCGGGCGAGTCTAGAAGCGGGCAAAGAGTGTAGCACGGTGGCAGGGCCGTTTGGGTGTTTGTGGTGTTTGGTGGCAGCAGAGGCCTTTGTGGATGACGGTTGCCGGCTTGGGGTCTCAGAGAGGCTGGAAGGAAATGGAAGGCAGTGGAGCCTCAAGGCCAGCGGCGGACGGATCAGATGAATCAGCGATCAGAGGGCACAGGCTGCAGGGCCGCCATGTTGTGGGAGTGGGAGCAGCGCGTACAGTAGGGCAGCAAGACGGTGACCCTGTCATGTACCAGCGTCGTCGGGCTGGGACAAAGGCGTGCAGTCGAAGGAGCACCGCTTGTCATGAACTGAGACGACGTCGTTGGCCGTTGGGAGCAAGGGGGCAGATGGGGGGGCAGAGGAAGCGGGGCAGTCCATGCCTACTGTTTTTACTTTTTACTACTATTACTACTACGTAGCCTCCCTACCTACTTTACATGGACGTACACAGTATACGCTACATACTACGCAAATGTGTGGATACGAGCTTATCTCCCACCTGCCAGTTACCCAGGGTTTTCTACCCTCCAATCAACACGTTTCCACTGTGCAGCGCATGCGGAGCGAGTCAATTGCATCTCGTGTCTAGGCCCCACCGGCAACTGGACGAGGCCCATGATCCTTTCGGATACTATATGCCCATGTCCTAAGTTGGGTCACGTGATCTCGGGGATCTACACCGGCAGGCCAAGCGAGAAGCGAGCCGCTAGTAAAGGCGGGGGGCAAGGCCGGTGAGCGAGTCCCGTGACCGTCCACCCTGTCCACCCTGTCCACCCTGTGCTCGTCCGTCTGTTACTTGTCCTGCAGTGCCATCCACACTCTCTCACCTGCCGCCACCGCCTGCATACACATTCCACAGCAAACATGCCACGAGACCTGCTGGCCGATAAACAGACGCTTGAGAGCATGCCCAAGCTGTCGAGAGAGCCAGACGCCCTAGCCAGCCCGGATCCCAAGGAACAGTCGTCGAGTCTGGTACCCCATCGCAGCTCAAGCATTGCCCAGGAGGAAAAGCTTAGGCAAATGCGCCTCCGTCCCTACTCTTCCCTGCTCAACATCGACGATCTCGATGATTGCGACTGGCTTGAGCATGCCGCTTTCGATCCCATCGAGGCCGCTTCCCGAGAAAAGGTGAGACCAATTCTACTTCATTACCGCCTCTTTCCTTTCTTCCCCTAGTCTTGGTACTCTTTTGTGTCTGTGTGCCTCAGTGTCAATCTGTCCAGTACCACCTTTGGGCTCCATATGCCATCTGCCACCCACCTCTTCTTCTCCTTGATCCACGTTACATTACCTAGATCAACGGCCACTGCATGCTGCCTGGTCATGTGCTTTTTACCATCCGTCCTATCTTGTGTACATGCTCGTCGTTGTGCTACAGGCCAGTGGCTGCATGGCAATCGCTTGTGTTCCTTCCTTGCTAACACTCGACCACCAACCGTCTTCGCCCTACTGTGCCACTTGGAATCTCCCACTAACCTCTTCTAGCTCGACTACCGTCTGCGAACATGCGGCGAACTGTGTAGCGGCCTCTTCTCATCCGCCTACCCCACCACTTCAGGGCCTCTGGGCGAGATCCTCAAGACACGCACTTTTCCTTCAATAAATTCCACCGACAGTGATCGAAAACGCATTCTGCTCGCCCACATTATATCCACCAAATCCAAATCCCCTCTCGTCACCGATGACGCCATGGACTATCCAAAGGACTGGAAGACTAACTACCAACTAGCACCTTCCACTGGCCATAATGAAGACGGCCAAACTGTATGTCTCCACTCGCTCTGTGTTCACCCCAACTTTGCCCGAAAGGGACTTGGTTCCATATTACTGCGAAGCTATGTGCAAAGAATAAAGGACTCGGGCATCGCCACGCGCATAGCCCTCATCTGTAGAGACCGTTACATTCCCTTTTACGAACGAGCTGGCTTTAAGAAGATTGGTCCCAGCAAATGCCAGTACGGCGGCGGAAACTGGGTCGACATGGCGCTCGACTTTGAAGACGGTGGGAACGACAGTTGGGACGACTGAGCATGACCCCCTTGCATTTTATGGCTGTTGTTTTGCATTTGTACTAGCGACTGCATGCTTATGAAAATATGTACAAGAGACCCAAATGGTATCCAAAGTGCTACTTCATGTGAGTAGTGGAATCAAAAACCCTTCGTTTGCCATGAAGCCGAATACTTTTCTCACTGCCCCCCTTTTCCTCGGAGAAAAATTTCTCAAGCATACTGACTTCGATCCTCCCACCTCGGCTGCAGCTCCTCACCATCAATCTCGCCAAACCCAAATCCACTCTCATACCGCGCATACTCGACCAATCTCAACGTATCTAGCTTAGCCCCCTTATCCGTCTGTGCCCACACAACCACACTCAGCGTATTCTCCCCCCTCATATTGAGTATACCAGGCGGAACCGGGAACCGCGTCTGCGGCCCAATATGCGGCACAAACTTTCCGTACTGGTATCCATTCACAAACAGCATGACGCGCGCAATCGTGCCCTTGGGCGCCCCCAGTTCAATCCCAATCGGAACATCAAGATCGGCATCGATGTCAAGCGGAAAGGTGGTAGTGAACCAGCGTATCGCAGCGCCCTCGGCGCCTTCGACTGTTGGACTCGCAGATTTCCAAGATGCAGTGTCGAAGCCGGGGAGGTGCCAACCTAGACGCTCGCCGTATAGACCACCTTCGTTCATTGGCCCGCGAACGGGGTCTAGATTTTTTTCTCCACCAGCGTTTCCTTGGATCTTCCACTGGTCAAAAGGTAGCTTGGTTCCATTGGCAGTGAGGAGCTGTGCGCCTAGGATACCGCGGGGGTTCTGGGCTCCTGCCGGTCCGGTGGACGTCTGATCGTGGCCCGTGTAGTCGGTGATCACGGTCAGGACATTGCCTTGCTCCAGCATTGTCGCGTTGCCAAAGGATAGCTGCGCTGTAGTTGATGTGAGTGAGGCGTTGCCTCCATGGTATCCAAGGGCTTGTCCGTTGAGCCATGCATTCCATCCTGCGGCTACACCTCCTTGTACTGTGATGTTGAACCCTGTGGCTATCTTTCCAGAGAAGTAGCCACGGTAGATTTTTGCGCCCGTATAAAACTTGTAGTCACTGCTAAAGAGTACAGGTAGGGTAAGTGGCTTGACTGGACTGAGGGTAGTCGTCTTGTTCGCAACAACCCAGTTGCCGTCGTCGAACGAGGGTTGGATTTCTGGTGACGAGTCCGCAGCTTTGAAGTTGGATAATGCTGGGAGTGTGACCTGGCGATCTGCAATTCCTTCGAGATTGGCAGTAAGAGCACCATATGGCGTCTTCGTGGTGTCGAGTCTTCGGCCGTTCCACGATATCGTCTCAACGTTTGCGCCAGCGTAGACTTCTATTGAAGTTGCATTTGCATTATCGCCAATGATAGCAACAGTCCCATCTTCAATGCTTGCTGACCGAACAAGATAAGGTCCGCGGACAAAAACTTGTTTATCGGGCGTGACGCTGGGATCGTTAGTCGTTGGCGGTGCAAAAAACGTCCATGCTGATGGAATATCCAAAAGGTATGCCAGAACCCCATTGGAGAACTCGACAACCGTCACTCCCTTGCTTTGAGTAAAACTGAAGCGAGAATACGTTCCGTTTGCCGGTACACTCGCAATGTCGGATTCTGCGCCCCACGTCTTGAACGTGAGGTTACCACGCGACTTGAAGGCAAACTCGCCAACCTGACCTTGCCGCGTGTAGAAGACAACAACAGGGCGATCAAACAATCCGTATGATGCAATTTCCGCCGAAGAGTAAAGCAACGTCTCATTTCCAACCGCATAATCCGTGACAACCCATCTACTCTGCCGCCCCGCAAGCTGCATAGTCGGGATCGTCACATCGCCCTCGGACGTCTTGACCGTCATGGAAAATCCAGTCACATCCCTCGTGCGCGTATTGTTGTTTTCAGCAAGATAGAACCGTGCATCCGACTCGCGATTCTTAAGCTGCCAGGTCCAGATGGCAGAGCTCGAGACGGCGTTCGCTGTGCCGTTTGCTTCCATGAAGGTATTATGCAGGCCCTTGCTCACACGGGTGAAGAGAGCAAGAAGCTTGTACTGTGAGAACTTCGGGCGAATCTCGCGAGTCTCGCGGAGAGGTGCATTGTAGTCGTATGAAGTGTAGACGACAGGTGCAGCGAGTTGACCCCAGTTAGTACCGCCATACGCCTGTAAGAGCTGTTAGTCGCCGCCAATGTCATTATACCACTACCTATCTCTTTTCCTTATCTCAAAGAGATGCAGCTTACCATGTACAAATTCAACAGCGTAGCCCTCTGTCCAACTAACCCCTTATAAAACACATCCGCAAACTCCGGGCTCTGCTCCGCCTTGCACTGATCAAAAAAGTACCCACCCCACGGCTGAAACCAGCCGCCCTCAAACTCAGGTAGATACTCTGGCTGCGACGGCGACACTTCCTGGAACCACTGATAATACGTCCTGGGCAGATTAAACCCCGTGTCAAGATTCGTACAACTCATGCCTCCAGGATAACTATCCAGCCCATACACATCAATCGCCCCACCGACATTCTTGTAGTCGGACGACCAGCTCTTCGACCGGAACCCCTTCTCGTTGTGCGTCAAGGGAACGATAATGCCCGCGTTCTTGAATGCGGTTTTGAGCTGCTCCATGTACAACACCAGCGTATCATTAGCCACATAGCGCGTCTGCTGCAATTCATTTTCCACCTGCGTAAGTATCACGGGTCCGCCGTTTGTAATCTGGTTCTTCGCAATGATACTTCCGACTTGCGCAACCCATTCGGACCATGATTCGCGGTACGTGGCATCGCTTGTGCGGTACTTGCCGCCGCTGCCGTCGCTGGTCCATAGAGCGAAGCCGCCGCCGTTGGTTTCGGCGTTGCAGTAAGGGCCCGGGCGCGCGATAACGTAGAGGCCTGCTTCTCGGGCTGCGGAGAGGAGACGCTGCAGGTCTTTTGCTGGCGAGGTGAAATCGTAGGTGCCGCGGGACGCCGAGTGGTAGGACCAGAAGAAGTAGATGCTTACGGTGTTTATGCCGTTTGCTTTGAATTTTTGGAATACGTCGGACCAGAGGGCGGGGACGGGGAGGCGAGTGTAGTCTGTGGTTTGAGACAAAAGAGTTCGTAGTTAGCAGTAATCTCTTTGGTATGTAGTATTTTGTTTTGTTTTGGAGGAGTAGTAACGTAGGATGTGCATACGGAATTCTCCACTCATAATCATGATGCGCTCGCCTTTGATCATCAGTGAGCCATTGTCCCATTCCACAGTCGTCTGCAACCCATTGTTCGCAGCGAGAGCGCTGTAAGAGAGCGATGCCGCGACAGCGATGATGCGTGAGATCCGCATAGTTACGTCCCTTTGCACCAAACCACAGTATCAACGAAATCAACAAAAAGAGACGGGAAAAAATGCCTTCGACCAAAAGCCATGAGCGACAGGCGGTCAACACGGCTTATGTGCTTTAGCCCATAAGCTCCAGATCTACTCTTGTGCCCATTCGCCATTCAAAGATGCCCCCTTCCCTGTGCGTACATAGCGCGACGATATCATTGACGGTACATCTTTGTTCCCCGCGCCCGTCCGGGGGGAAGAAATACCAGAGCTGGACCGGCTGGGCGGGCTAAATACGCATGCAAGGTACCAGTAGTGTATTAATACCTTTGCACTTGGAGAAAGAGGTTATTGGGCGGGTGGCGGGATAAACGGGACATCATCCCGCCGAGACGCCGAGACGGGAACGACATGGCTTGTTTTCGAAACTGCGGAGGCGAAGGGGCCGGGGTGCGCGATTGGAATGGTGAATGTGGGGTTGCTGCCAAAGAGAGTGGGTTAGGAAAAGTAGGTGTTCTTGGGGAAATGGGAGTAAGGAGCTTTAAAAGGTTGATGACTTTTGGGGGTGATTGCGGTCTTGCGTACTTAGGTGAACGCAAGTGGGCATGGGTAAGTAAAAGCTTCCTGATTGCAACACCGCCTGTTTGTGATAGTGAGATATCCAGTTCTCAACCCGTTTCTTTTTTTCAACTGCTTGTACGAAATTTGAAGCAGTATCAACACTTTTCGAATTATATAGGAGGAATCTCACAAAAACAACTTTGGTAACCTCCTAAGATTCTGCAACACATCTGAGCAGACCAGAAAATATAACACTGATTTTATCACTGATGCACTCGTGAAACAAGCAGGAAATGGTTCTGTAATACTTCTTCAATTATCTTTAATCGGCAATGCAAAGTTGCTAAATATTTGCCTCTGTCACTTTTACCTCTTTCTACCCTACATCTGGACAACCCATACCAAGATTTCCTGTAAAGAAATACACAGTAAGCTTCTTCTTCTCAAAATTCATTCTACCTCTAAACTCAATGTTTTGATCGAACAACCGGAACTTGCATTTCTTATGATGATTGATGATACACACTACCGAGCCCTCTTCTGCTGAACCTCTACCCTTCCCTCATCCCACATTCCTTGGCCCTGGCCTTGCCCTTCTATCAAACTGTCCATCTCCGTACAACCGAACTTCCCTTCATCGTCCTTTGCGCCCAGCAGCACAGGGAAAAGCGTAAACGCAAAGCCGGTCCCAACCGCAAAATACACCAACACCGCCATTCTTCGTAACACATCCCCCTCCTTTTGCACTGGCAAGTTGTCCTTCCAAGCGCTCCACATGTACGCTGACATACCGCACACGAAGTTAGTGACAGCCAGCGAGATCAGCTCATAAGGTGCCTCCATTAGCGTCAGAGACGTAAGCGAACTCTGCCATACGAGATGCTCACGAGAATCGCGATACTGGACGCCGTTGGAAAGCCATATGCGTAGTGCAGACGCAGTGCGAACGAAACCTAGTTCGCGTTGCTGGATGCAGGTGAAAAATGTAGCGAGTAGGGAGAGCATAGTGCCTTGTGTAAAACAAGAACGTACGATAAACGTCGTATCAGAAAGTTGAGGCAGCGACATTGCCTGGAGTGCTAATGTTGCTAATAACGCTCCCTAGAAAAATATTTAGCCATCATGGCAGTGTGGGTGAGAGTGAGGCGGGGCACGTGATAGTAGTACGCAGTAACAGAGCACGCCTTGAGAGACGGATAAATGCAAAAACGATAAAATGAGAGAGAGAGAGGGGGGGGGAACATACAACCAAAGCCACAAGCCTAAACTGCTCCAACTTTGCTTCCCGCAGCTCAAGTACCTCCTTATCGGTACCCTCATTGATTATATGTTCCAGCACCTCCAAATCCTGCGCATCAAACAGCAGCCACAGACGGTAGCGGTACGACGGCCCGTACCGTGTTCGTGCCCACGCATTATCGTTCCACTCACGAAGACGCGAAAAGCCATTGATCAAATAACGCGGCGCTAGCAGAACACGAGCAGCTGCTCGCGCCGGAAGTCCCAGGGCGCTCCAGATCTCAGCTGTATTGGACATATATGGCGAAAAAAAGGATCAAGAAACAAAAAAGATAAAATGGTGGGGGGAGGCGGGAGACTTGCGCCCTTGACCTATGTACGTAAAGTACGTGTGGTATTCGGCCAGATTAATCCAAGGTTTCTCAGGTTCCAATAGCAAGGGGAAGGTCCCCACTTTCTGGGCTCCTTGAGGCTGGTGAGGCATGCATACGGTATAGTTTTGGCCCCCAAATCGATGGGGGGTGCTGCGGATGCAGCGCCATTATTGGCTCATAACGGAGGTATAGGACAAATATAGTATACCGTCGCTATTGATTGCGCATAAAGCGTGGCGATGAGAAGATCTGGACGGGGAGTACATATTAAATCGGAACAGTTGAAGGAATCCTGGTATTAATGCAAGATCGATCTAGAATATCACGACTGATTGTGGGCCGTGTAACATTTGCCTTTGGCAAGTTTACCAGATCTAGTATGACAGTTGTACCACGTTCCTCTATGCACTTGTTCCCGAAGCCTTTGCCTTTTCCTGTGCCTCCAACTTTCTCCGTGCGGCCAGAATCATTTCCTCTCTCCTCCTTTGCAGATTCGCCTGCCTCTCGTTCTTATCTGCACTCCAAGATTTTGATTTCGGCTGCTCTTCTTGCGCAGCCTGGGGTGCTCCGTTGATCTTTGAAGATAGGTTGTATCGTGTGATCAGATCGGGATGTGAAGGCTTTGCTGGTGCAGCGGCTGGTCGAGCAGGTGCAGGTGAAGCGCGTGGTGCGGGTATTTGGAAAGATGGTGGTGCCTGTCTCAACGTCAGCGAACCAAGTTCTTATAAACTCATGTCCGTGAATGAATCTTACCGCATCCAACCCTCTCCCACTCAGCGCCCTCTCTGTTGTTGCTGCAACATTCCCGCCGTTTCGCTGCAGATCCCACGCAATGTCCCGTCTATTCAGTTGCGGCAACATCTCGGCTACCTGGTCGATCTGTGCCAGATTGATACGGGGTGTGGCGCGGTTTGCGGCTGCTCGCGTGCCAGGCGCTGCTGGTGTGGGTTTGCTAAAGTACCATCGCACGGCCAGGAAGGTGACAACGATGAAGACGAGTACCTGGGGAACGTTGATGCTTTGTTCCGCCATGGCTATGTTCTCTCACTATGTGCCAGACGGTATTGAGACGGTGCTACAGGGCCTGTGGTGTGCCCAAGAGCGACGTATGAAGCGTTGAGTGTGGCAGTAGAGAGCGGCGTGCAGGCGAACTCGGTATTGGGTCTGCGGCTAGCGAAATGATTATATGACCACGGGTGACGTCTGGTCCACGGTGGGATGAGTGGTATCAACTCAAGGGTTAGTGATGTGTCGGCTTTGATGGATGAGTTGAGGTTGACATGGATAGTTCGGAGGAGCCTCGGCGAATCGCCCACTGCCGAAACGTTGCCGCCTTGACCCCTTGTTGACGTTCACCCTCTGACCCACAAGACCCCTCCTTCTCCACACCCCGTCCTGGACCCTTATCTTGACGCGCTTTTTTAAGTTCAGGCACTTTGTCTGAACTGTTCACTCTTTTGGTTTTTGCCATTGCTTCACCACAGCGTGATGCATTGTTGTTACAAACATCTCTCCACCTATACCCTGCTTCGCGCCAGTTACGCGCCGACATTCCTTAGAAAATGAGTTCTTCAATGATTGCCAGGAAACCACTTCCACAACCTGCGCAGGCGCACCTAAAGGATGGTTCTCCTGATATTGCGACCGCTGCCTTTGGACCAGGATTCAATGCGCCTGCACATCATCAGGATGCGCTTTCAGAGCAGCAAAAGAAAGAGACAGCAATTGACGACTCAGCTTCTTCAATTGAGCAGGGTGTGACGGACAATCAAGGAACGAATGGAAGGCGTAATGCCCCCGGTGGAGGCTTTCTTGCAGGCGTAATGGGAGGCGCCTTGGGCTCAGCTATTTCCCGCCGTCTGGACAATTTTCTCCCACCACACAAAAGATATTTCAACAATCGCATCAGCCGTCGTACACTCCTTATTATGATCGGTGCTTCCTTCATTCTTCTTTTGGCATTGATAATAGGCCTGGCAGTTGGTCTGTCTGGAAAGTCCGAGTAGGTTGCCTTTACTCAATTCGGCTTTCTTCGTTGTTACTAATTCCGCATAGTGATACTGCTCTACCTCTACCCGGAGGGGCGCAAACTTTCGAGGGCGATTTGACCTATTACAATCCGGCCCTTGGAGCCTGTGGCCAGACTCACGGCGATGGCGATCCGGTCGTGGCCGTGTCCCACATCCTTTGTAAGTCTTGTTTCCTCTACTTCGATGTGACATGTTGACTAACATTATGGACTCAAAAGGGGACAAGAATCAAGTGGGCGCCAATCCCAACACCAATTCGCTTTGTGGCAGAAAGATCCGTGCCCACCGTATCGACGAGAGGACGGGCAAAGAGGCCAGCATCGACGTGACTGTGATTGATAGGTGTACGTACCTCAGGCCGTAATGGCCCACCTCATTCTCGTTCAGTGAATTGGCGCTGATCTTATACCAGGTACCGGCTGCAAACCTACCGACCTCGATGTCAGCCCTGCTATGTTCAAAAAACTGGCCGATCCTGATTTGGGCAGGGTCACGGTGGAGTGGGCTTGGTTGTGAGAGTCTTGGTGGCGACGTTTTGCACACCGCTATGCCTCTTTCTTTTGAGTTTTTGTCCTTTTACTTCTTGATACCACTATTGTCTTCTTGTTTTATACCTTGTCTCTCGTTCAGCATATTTGTACCATAATTTTCCGAGTTCATGATCCCCCCAACATTTCCTGTTGATGTCCGCATGAACGCCTGTCTCTTCGATACCCCTCTTTGAAATCTTCAGTTAGTACGCAGAAATTTATCATTACAGAATCGCTTAATGAAAAACATTCATCAGATCTACATATCCTTAAGTACCTAAGGGGCGGCAGACAATCCAAAGCTAACTGCTACACCTGTAGATACCACAAAACCCAGTATGCTCAACCCTCACACACCCCAATACTTCTCAACGATATCCTTCGGCAAAACCCCCTGCTCACTCCTCGCCCGATAAACCTTCAACGGGCCTCCTTTGACATCATACACCAGCACCGCCGCCCCGCCTCTGATCCCCCTCACTGTCCGTTTAATACCCACCAGCAACCCCACCATCTTCCTCAGCTTCTCCTGATTCGCCGCTTCCCACTTCCCAAACTGCTCTTCCGCCCGCGTAATACTAACCGAGTGCACCGTCCCCTTCTCATGATTCCCATTGATAAAATACGGCGTGCGACCGAACCATAGCTGCGGCATGGCATCGGCCATACGATTTAGTTTCTTAGCTTTGATTTCTGCGAGGAGGGAGGGAGAGATGAAAGTGCCTTTTTCGATAGCGATCGTGGGTGCATCTGGTGGTTGCATGGGGGTCGAGGACGAAGCGTACTCTGCTACTTCTAGTTTCTCCATCGCAGCTGTGAGCGCATCAGTTGTATCGTGCTCCGAGTCGTCGTAGTAAGCATCGACTTCAAACCTAACAACGCAGTCCAACGGCCCAATTCGATACCGAATCACTCTATGATGGCTACTTGAGTTTCCTAGATCCTTGTCGGGCGTGGTAAATGCTTTTTCAAAGTTATGCCCGTAACCGGAGTTTGGGGCGCCGTGCACCATGTGCTGGGCAGTACGCTCTTTACGGCTTATCACGAGGGTGCTGTTGACAAGGTTGAGGCCCATGCAGAAGGGATCGAGTTTTTTGCCAGCGGATAGATCAAGGAGTTTGCGGAGAGAGTTGCGGTTGGCAACGATGTCGACGGCGGTTAGGTTTGTCCCGGGATTCATGAGGGAGAGGGCGCGGAAAGCGGGCTCGAAGGGGTATTTGGGGACGCGGGCGGCGTTTTGGTCGATGAAGTGGTGTCCAGCGTCCTGTGCTAGGGTAGTTGGTAATGGAAGAGGTGTCCATTTTGGAGGCCCGCCGGGGATGTAGATGGTACCGTCATTCTGCCAATTGTAGCTGCAAAGAGTTTCGAAGCCCTCTGTAGAGTGGACGGGGTTATTGTCGGGTTGCAATGACGTAGTGTCGATGGTGAGGATATGCCTCCCAGTGGTCTCCTTGAGCATCCATGCTGTCTTCCATGCTGATGGTTTTGTTTTTGAGGGCCCCCTTCTCGAGAATGACTTATGAGTTGGATCTGGTGTAGATTCAACAACTTTTGTTGGGGTTGGGGTTGGAGGTGTCGCACTAGAATGCGTATTCTTGGGCGATGGTACTCGAGAAGACGATGCCGACGCAGGTACTGTGGTTAGTCGGGGCTCTTTGACATCACGGGCTAGTTTCACTATTCCTGTAGATGAAAGAGGCGGTTCTGTCGTTAGCGAAGCTTTTGCTGCTTGTATTCTTGCACGCGCACTGTTGCACCCATAAGACTAGAGTTGATACACATCTGACCCTGCGTACGTACGATTTGCTCGGACGTGGCTTGTTTTTCTTCGGCTTTACAGCAGCCTCAGAACCTTCTTTCGGAGCGGAAAGTACACTTCCTGTCATCAATTGGCTCTCCTGGATTGTCTTCTGAGCCCCAAGAGCCTGGTTTGCTACGACGCCTGACGCGGTGAGTGGCGCGCCATTTGCCTTCTTGGACTTTTCGCGCTCCCTGCGTTCACGATACGTAAGCTAGCTGTACGTGCGTATAATCTCGACTGAATGCCTTACTGTTTCGCTTGACGACCACCGTCCTTACGAGCTCCCTTTTGAGGAGCGTTGCTTGGATCCACCATGGAAGTTGACGCTTCTATTCTAAAAATACCTATCCTTTGAGCCTACTGTTAAGTTTGTTGTGCTAGGAAGTGTCTGCGGTGTCTCGTCACGCAGGGTGTCCCGCTGCGTAGGCACAGACGTTACACCACAGCATAGCAATTTCGCATAAAGGTCCAATTATACTTTCAGCTTCCTGCGGATTAGCACATATGACAGAACATATTGGGGTCACGACTAGGCGTATTGCGGATATTTTGCAGTCACTTCAGAATATGCTAGTCTAAATTTGTTAGTGTTGTGAGGGGCTACGCCGCGAACAAGACACGTGATATGATCACGTGTCTACCTTCCTACAAGTGCTTAGTTAACAAACGTTCTTCGTACGAAAAGAGCTTAGAGTAAAAGTGTAAAGGAGGGGGCGTCTTATAATAGCTTTGCTCTTCTTATCTTTCTTCTTTTATAGCTTAGGTTAATGCAAACTTGGTCCGAGGCCTCTTTGTAAGGGGCTACGCCGTGAATGAAGCACGTGATTATACCATGTGCCGACCTTGAGAACGCTTAGTCATAAGAACTCCTTCGTAGGACATGACTAACGAAGGAGTATAAAGCAGTAGCTATCGTACGATAACTTTACTTTCTTATCTTTCTTCTTCTGTACCATAGGCTAATGCAAACTCGTTCGAAGGCCTCTTCGCCTATAACAAGTATTTTACTACTAAGGGAGGATAAGAATAGCTCTTAAATAGTATTATGTAGAAAGAACGTGTTGAGTATAGAAAATTAAATAATCCAGCACTTGGTACTTCGATAGGGACCCTTGTATGTCCCGTCGTATGTGATGACCCGCAATAGAATATCAGCCATCCTAGTACAGCTGACATCACCACATATTACTTCCTTGTTAAGGCATGAACATAATCAGACGAGCGCACAGATTAATAGGGGGTAATAAATTATAGACTTGAATGCTAAGCTATATTATAGACAAATCCAAGTACTCGGGCCCAACGGCTGCTGTAGCAGAATTTCAATGAAATTGCCCGTGCTCCGCACGGGCCTATCACCTCAACGATAATATCACCTCAATGATAACGATATATTTCAATCGTACATTTAAGCTAAGTAAAT